CCAAACACACATGCTAAAAAACAACAACTTACTTACACATAGTAAGAAATGGTTATAAAAACTGAAACAAGTAACAGGAAAGAGGAGAAATAAAAAGCGATACTTATTACAATTCATGAGTGTATATATAGACTGGCATTGTTGCATTAAAATGAACAAACTTGATTACAAGCAAAAAACATAAAGAACCCCAACTGAACAGACACAGTATATTCACACATGTAATGCTTGTATCTGTACCACGGTAGATCATTTGTATGTTGTAATAAAGTAAAATATGTGAAAAATAATGTGTTTTTCGAACAACCTAGTATGAGAGCCTGTTCTAGTACTGCCCCAAAACAAAATCAAGACTTTGTAAAAGAGCATATTAGGACCGCTTTAAAATACAGTACCAGTATGTATCATTATCAACATGAATATACACGGTAAAGCATCACTACTTCAGTAACGTTACCAGGTTACGTGTGGTTTGCTGGCTATTTATCATATTAATTTACCATATTAATAACACTAAAAAATCCGCCAACTAGATTAGCAACCAAACAGTAACAAAATAACAAGCACAAAACGTGATAAACAAGCACAAACCAACACCAAACTAGCATAATCCTGTTTAAAACTCCACATAAATTCACATGGATGGATAACATTAGTTGTCTCAGCAAGTATTTTACAAATACAACAAAATACTACATGTGAACGATTACGACTGCTGAAAATGTTCCTGTATTTAAAAATAAAAAAATGTATTTTGTGTTCACCTGAAACATTTCATCTGGGATGGAGTTGAATTTCTTGTTTATAAATCACTAAATCTGGTTGGCGGTGTTTGTGTTGTAACTTCACAAACACGACTGTAGTCAGTCAACATTTTTTACTTTCCGTTTCTATGGCAGTTCAAACACTAAAAGATAACAATGATGATCAGATGAGATCAAATAAACAGATAAGCCGGTACTCGGGTGGATGTGGGTCGATCCGCTTACCTGCCATCCAGGTAAAAAGTTAAAACACAAACTCGTGACTAGCAGACTGAACTGAGGCCTGAGTCACTGACGTCACTGTGTTGGATTTGGCGCCACCTACTGCTCGGCAAGGAAAGCGCAAAGCCACGCGATAATTTTAACCCTTTCAAATAAAATATTTTGAACCCTTTAAAATATTCTAGTTGTCTCCCCAGAGTGAGTTTTTTTAGGCGACCGTTATTATAAAACGTTTCCCTTTATTGTTTCCATGGCGATGCGTCATGCTTGTCACGTAACAGACCACACGTTATATCGATTTTATTTCGGTTTTTCCTTTTTTCTTCAAAATATCCACTAACTTCCCTTACGAAAAAGAAGTTTATTCAAGTGTGCTATTAGTATACTTCTTTTAAACTAAAAATAGGAAAGTATACGTTTAGTCTACTTTTTATGTACTTCTCAGAAATGGGCTTTATGTACTTCTCAGAAATATACTTAAAATGACATTTAAGTATACTTGACTTATACTTCAGCTATAATTGTGCTCCTAGAATCCGTGTTTTCATTGTTATACTGTAGAGGGCGCTAGTACACATCTTCTGTACAGAATTTCCAAAAAACACAAGTGAAGAAGAAACCGAAACAACAGATGCTTCCACATGTATTCTAACACGATCATCAGACATAAAACAGCATCAAAACTGTGTAACGTTATGGAATAAAATGTCGACCAATGAAGAGGTAATAATAACTGTCAAGCTTTGGGGTGTTGATCGACTCTATCTACGTTTTGATTATCATTCTGAATCCAATTCAGTCTTT